TATAAAAATTCAAGAATACGGAATTATCACAATTTATGGGATATCAATCCACAAATAAACATTTCACAACAATACTATAATCAATTACAAAAATGTCAATTTTTAAATAATAAGGCAGTCATTTGCACATGAATTTTTCAATGTCTAAATATTCAAAACAGTAGAAAAAAATATCACAATTTTACTAAAAGAAGAAATATCACATTTATTTCTAACAATAGACAAGACAAATAAATAATTTTATTTTTCTAATTTATAGCATTCAAAATTTCTAACATAGATAAAATATCACAATTTTTATTAAAAAGATTATTTTTCAATATAATGAGGTCACGTGCGCATAAAATTTATCGCGTCTAAAATTCATGATAATAAGCAGAAATAACTATTTCATTTTATTTTTAAAAAAAATGGATTATTTTTCGAGACAATGAGGTCACTTATACATAAAACTGATAAAATAAAGATCCTAGACGAAAATATCATTATTTATTAGAAATAGACTATTTTTCAGGAAGACGATGTCACTTACCTAAAATATTTGAGAGGAAGCTTCCGATAAAAATTTGGTTAGGGAGAGGAGCTCACTGTGTTTCGACCAGAAAGGGAAAGATTTCAAAAGTTTTCTAGGGTGGGAGTCCTCGTCTCCCATATTTAAACTCTTACGACACCTTATTATAATATTTTATTAAGTGACACCTCATAAACGAGGTGTAACCCTTACAATACCCCTTATATGCTTAAAGCCCACGTCCACTTGACGTGGCAAGGCAGGAGCAAACAAAAGAAACTTAACCAAAAGATTTTGAAAACAGTGATGGTCCTTAAGGACCATCATGCTCATATAGACCATCACTTATTAAGAGTTTCTTTCTTTCTTTTTTATTTTTATTTTTTATTTTTTTTATTTTTTACTTTTTTTTAAAATTTTTTTTTTTAGAATTATTACAGTTGAAGTCCATGATTTGTCTACCCATTGAAGTCCATGATTTGTCTGCCCATCTCTGAAAAGCCGCAACGTTTGTACCTTTAGAGAGAAAAGATATGACAACACTAGATTTGATACGTTGGACTCACCCACCACAATAACCGAATCAACACGATGATCAAACCTAGTAGAAGAGCGAAAAATTTGAGCATACGAATGACGCTTTACTCCATCCTTAACTTCTTCTTCCTCCATCCATCACTCCTCTCTCCCCCGTATGTATTGAAAATTCACTCGAATGTTTATGAAAAGGAGTTTTCTCATAGGCGAACTCTCAAACAATTGGTTAGTTTTTAGTAGCCTTATACCTATAGTAATCAGCCAAAAGCAGCCATCACCTGAAGCTTTTGTCAAACACTTAGAATACCCTACTCAAGACCAAACTCTTTTCGTTTTTGACCCAAACCAAAGTCTCTCAATTTTTCTTCTCTCTCTTTGGTGCCTCTAGACCTTCTCAATCCCTACCTTTCCTCCCTATAAATGCTCCAATCATTTGTACCCAAGAGCCCCAATCAATTGCACTGCTCCTGTGTTGCATTACATTATGCCTCTAGAAATAAATCTCTGTTTAGCTGTTTTTTCTTCTCTCGTGTCCTTTACTCTCTATCTCTCGAAATCAAGCAGGCCAAAATGGAAACTATCTCAAGGGCGAAAACGAGGAGACTATTGGAATGGAGGAATACTGCCCATTTCCAACAAGTCCTACACTCTCTCAAGCTGCAACTGATGCGGTCTTTGTGCAGCTCTCTGAAATTCGGTCCTCTGGCTGCATGAGCATTGTTCTCTCTCACTAGCTGCACTTTCGCTCACTAGCTGCAACAACTCTGTGAGTTTCTCTCTCTAAAGCCAACAACCGACGCAACCCCACTCTCTCTCTTCTCTCAACTCAAATTCTTGTTTTGCAACAGCCCTGCTCCACCTCTCTGCAATCTGTCTTAGGGCTGCCGCCTTGCAACGAAATACAAATCCATACCTGCATTACTCTCTCTTCCTCACTCACTGTCACTCTCTCTTTGTCTTGTCAGATAGTTATGGGGTCACCCCCTTCAACATTTCTCTCACTTCAACATGTCAAGAAGTGAACTTCTGTATGGGATCTCTCCTCCTTGAGGGGCTTAGGAAGTGGATCATAATATGATTTGTGTGGCTTATAATATGCCTTTATTATTAGGCTCAAACAAAAAAAATACTTTCAAAATATAGAAACATAACATTTAACATCAAAAATTTATTTTCTTATAACAATAGTAAATGGTCTCATTGTATATAATCCCTATTCCTTCACTCTTTTTTTCTTATTTCTTATTTGAATAATGTTTTGTTTGTGTGTGATTATCTTTAACCAAATTTTAAATATTACCTATACAAATTTTTTTCCGATGACCACAAATGAATATACTACTCAAACTAAACCTACCTATACAAATAAACTTATCAAAGTGTCTCCAAACCATTGTCATTTTTTTTTTTAATATCCGTAAACCATGATATGGGGTGGCATCCAATCAGTCCAACCATATTTAAATGTCAATAAACCTTTTTCCCAAATGAGGAATCAAGGGATTTCTAAATCAACATTCCCAACATCCCAATGTTTTTAAAACCCATGTGTTCGGATTGGGAATTAGCTGGGATTGAACCGGTTTTGAATAGGTGTCGGATCGGCCTGGTCGCCCCTAAAAACCCTAATAATATATATATGAAATGATCCTGTCAACCCACCAGTTGATAGCTACAATATCAGCCAATGTCCTAGATTGAATGTGGGCCGATCTGAAGGTCACGATTTCATTTTATGGTTGAATTTCCATTTTTTTTCCTACAAATCCAAATCATTTAAAATTTGGAGTGTCTATTCTTCAAAAATAGGACAATCTAATAAAAATATTAAAACAGTAATTCACAAAATATAAATTGACCAAAATACCCTCAAAATATTTTGATAGTATTTTGATCAATTTATATTTTACAGTTTTTTTTATATATATTTTTATTAGGTGCGGCTTGATGAGAAAAATAAACGAATATGAAATGAAATTCAAATATGAAATGATGTCATACTGTCAGATCGGCTATGATTGAATCTGGAATGTTTATTTGCTATGATTGATCGGCTATATATATATATAAGGGATGTTTATTTGACTAAAAGATAAATGTTATTTGGAAACAAGTTCTTCTTTGTTGAGAAATGAACATTATTTTTTGGGATTTTTAAGGAAGTTCTGAATAACTGTATAACCTACTGGAATGTTAATGAAATTTAGAGTACACGTGGTTGATTACCTTATTGAATTATGAATTGAGGAAGTTTTTAGTACATGTATTTGATTGACCATATAATGTTTGGGGTATGTAGACAAACAAGTTTGAACAGTTCGTTTATTTTTAAGTGATATGAGATCAATATGTCATGCATGAAAGAGATATCTAAGATGCTCCACGATAAAATGATATGTCATGTATTTTCCAACAATAAAAAGGAAAAAGTTTATATAAGCTTGCAACTTTAAAATGTAGAATTAAGATGCATCTAAAAAATCTATCATAAGAGTTATTTTGATGTTGGAAAATCCTCTAATTGATCATCTCAACATCAAAATATGAAAAGAAAAAAAAATATTTTGAGTCTCGAAAATAATATATCTTGCAACACATTATCTGTACTGTCAATTTTCAGGTCTATTTGATTTGAATTGTTTTTGGAGTTTAAAATTTTATAATTAGAGATAAAAGTAGATTCTCAAGTCATATCAAGATTTTTTAACACTAAAATTGTATTTAAGATAAAATTTGGAAGGACACCTTAATTTGATTGATTAAGGTTACAATATTACAAGGATGAGATTAGCATGCAGGCCAAGCCCACACATGTAGAAATGCGGGCCCCTTAATAAATCTATTATTAAGAATGGATTTTTGGACATAATTTTTAAGGATATGTAATCTCTAACATGGAGATCATGAATATGAAAAAAAAACAAAAAAAATTAGAAACTATAAATAATAATTATATGAAGAAAACATTTGGACCATTAATTTAAAGTGTTTTTAGATGGACCACATATTTGCATCCATCTTTAAGATGGATGGTTTATACTTCTAGACTGCACATGTAGAAATGACATCTAGCCTCGCATGAAACAATTTTTCCCTTTATAAACCACATTTATAAAAAAAAAGATATAGGGTGCAGTTTATATAGAGTCGAGGCTCTGAACAATCAAAGTAAAGTGCACCTTCAAATAATGTCGAGAAATATGGTTTCAATACTGAAAATCTTTGCGATAGCCTTAAAATATATTTTCATCTTTAATTATAAAATTTAAAGCTTAAAAAATAGTATAGATAGAGTAGATCTATGAAAACTTGAAAATCTTGAAAGTTAATTGTTCAAAACTGTGTTACAAGCTGCATTATTTTCAAAATTTAGAATCCATTTTTTTCTCATATCCATGCATCTTGAGGTCGAGATGATCAAATTGAAGATATTTTGGCATTAAAAATTTTGAAATAGGCTCTATATAAACTTTTTTCTAAAACAAAAGAAGGGAAAAGTTTATATAGAGCTCAAGCTCTAAACAATCAAATTAGAGCTTACATAAAAAAAAATTCATTGTTTTGATGCCCAAATATCATCAAATTAGTCATCTCAACATCAAGATACATGATATTGAGAAAAAAATGGATTTCAAGTTTTGGAAATAGTACATATTGTAATACATTTTTAGACCGTCAATTTTTAAGTTATTAAAATTTTCATATATCTGCTCGATCTATAATATTTTTAACCTTAAAATTTTATAATTAAAAATACAAATATATTTGAAGGCTAGTCAAATATTTTCAATATTGAAAGTATACTTCGGACACTCTTTGAATGTGTGTTCTAATTTCATTGCTCATCTCTCAACAAACCGCACCTAAAAAAAGGGCTATACTATCGTAAATTTCGTAAGGAGTGATGGGCATATTCGACATTTTCAAACACACTGGCTCCGATATATAACCGCTCATAGCTTCGCATATCGCTCGCTTTGCAACTAGGGTTAGGGTTTTCTTTGTGGCGTTGTGCTCCATTTGTCTCTTGCCCCTCCTGCTTTCGTTGCAGAGCAACAATGGCGGACTCCAAAGCTGTGACCATAAGAACAAGGAAATTCATGACCAATAGGCTTCTTTCAAGGAAGCAATTCGTATGCCTCTTTTCGCTAATATTTTGCTTTACTCAATTTTTTCGAGATTTCTCTCTCTTTACCCTGATTCTTCTGTCTCTTAGGTCATTGATGTTCTCCACCCTGGAAGGCCCAATGTCTCGAAGGTATTCATCTCTTAAACCTCTCTCTCTCTTTCTTTTTCTCATTCGTTCTCTCCTATTTTTCTTATTCTTCTTATTCTGCCCATCTAAATGATTTGCATTGATTTGTTTAGAAAACCATGTTTTCATGGCCTTAGTGATTCTAGTTGTTTACCTGAATAGAGGGGTTGCTGACCGGTAGTTGCTTCTTTTCTTTCGAGGGTTTTAGAGTGGATTGTGGGTAAAGTTTCAAATTTTAGGTTTTTAATGTTAATGGCGTTTAATTCACTTTATTTTTTAATGGTGAAGGCTGAGTTGAAAGAAAAGCTTGGAAAAATGTACGAAGTGAGGGATTCCAACACGATTTTTGTGTTCAAGTTTAGAACACATTTTGGTGGGGGCAAATCCACTGGTTTCGGTCTTATTTATGACACAGTAGATAATGCAAAGAAGTATGAGCCCAAGTACAGGCTCATCAGGGTAAGCCTTTGACTTTCCTTCTTCGGTGTCTGCTCTGTTTTTAAAGTGTTGTTTTTTTCTCTTCTAGTGATTTCATTTCTTACCAATCATACTCTAAATCACTTCATTAGATTTTATTGGTGGTTTATTAGTTTATTGGTCAATTTATTGTAGTTATCAGATATTAGAGCTTGAGTTTACTCCCTGTGTTTCATGTATTATATTTAGTATGTAAACACTGTATTAAAAGAGCTGATTCTACAACCTCTAATGTCTTCATTTAAGCATCAATTATCTGTAAAAAAAGATGCACTCTATGTTGTCTCCTGATCCTTATAGTGAGTTCTGAGTCTGTATGGGTTTTAATTAGTGGAAATGTGTGTGGATTTGGTTTCCCCCCCTAGATCTTTAGTGATCTATAACTTCTTGTGCTATACAAATGGGTTTTTTATTTAGTAAAATTTTTATTAATATCAAGCTGCTTTCTCTGGTAGAGGTATTTTTCTCTGTTGATTTCTAGTGGTATTCTTGTCTGCAGTTAAAAATCAACACTGATTGCTTTGTTATTTGATCTACCTCCGTTCTTATGCTTTATATTTCTTACTATGAAATTGCAGTATTTCACATGTAAAAGCCTCATTTGTTTTTAGTGAAAGGAAGGATAATACCACCAGTTACTTCAATCTTTACATCTTTTCTGTTGACAAGTTGATCTTTGCACATTTTGTTATATTACTTTGATTGGGTTTGACTTGATCTTTACATTTATGTTTCTTTGCTACGACTTTGGGTGGCAAAATTGTCGCAACTTGGATTTTTTTGGAGAACCAAATATTCTTGGAGGTACTTTGTTATTTTACTTATATTGTGGATGTTTTTGATGTGCTTTTTGTGATATCAATGATTACAGATATATATATATTTTTTTTCCGATACTACCAATGATTACAGATGTTAAGTGTATCTTATATCGTTTGGCTTTTTCTTTTCTTTTGATTTTTATGTTTCATCTTCATCAAACATGAAACTATTTGATTGAGTTGATAGATTTTTCCATGCCTATCTTAGGAACTTTGCTAGACCGACATTTTTTTTGTAAGACTTGGCTTCAGTCATGTAAGTACCTTGAGGGATGCTTGCCAAATTACCTCAAGTATTAATGTAGTCTCGGCTCTTTCTGTTATTTCCCTTAACATCATTCCACTCTCAACAGCGTAACTTTTTTTTTATTAATTGTTACATTACTGATCCCTTGCAAATTACAATTGAAGTATCAACTGTCTGATTGTTAGTGAAATTTGGGCAATTATTCAGTATCACTCATTTGATGCCTTGTCTTATATTTAACATCAATCGCCTGATTCCATTGATCAATTTAACCTTGTCATGTCTGATGCAAATTCCTACATATCGGTCTTTTTAAGGTCCAGTATTGTTGTTTCCACTTTTGCCTACCCGGTTCTCTAACATGTTTTGCATAATAGCCCAGTAGCCCACCATTCTACCATTGTAATTGCATTAGTCCATTACTCTGTTACATAAACTGAATAGATCTGTCCACCACTATGCTGTTGGTGCCTTACCTCGGATTCATTATCATTTCAATGCTCTTTTTCTCCTTGTTATCGTTTTCGAAGGATTCTTATTCTTCTCCTGTCCCTCTTACCTTACTTCCTTCTGTCCTCTGTCTAGTTGTGCAGCTCAGTTTTCCTTGACTTTGTATCTGGGTGTTAAGCTTTTGACCTCGCCTATTTCTTCCTGTAATGCAGGCTGACTCTTAAAAACTTGATCCTTAATAGGCAATTTTGTGTATATACATCAACTATCTCTAGGAAGTTGTCCAAAGACAAATCAATATGCTTCTACAGTCTTTTTATTTTTCCTGATAGATACTATTTTTATGCAAAGAAAAATTGTGTTTTGGTTCAAAATAATATACGAAGTTGGTTTCAAGTTTGTTGCCTATTCCCTTACCAGCCATCATATGGCTTCTGAAATTTATGGCCAATCACTTTACACTGTATTTTGAATATCTTTGAATATGCTATTTAAAGATTATGGCCCATATACTAAGACTCAAATATAAGGCCTAAATGACATATTTAATTGACATTCATTCAAATAAGATCTAATTCATGTTGGCATAAAAGCAACAATAAATCAGTCATCACATTGTAGGAGCAATAATATTTATAGTTGTACATAATCTGCAGTACTTGACTACTTGCTATAAATTAGTCAATTGGATTCATCTCGTGAAACAAATTGGTCCCAAGGATATAAAAACAGCATCAAAGTGGTGATCAATATAAATGAAATTGCATAGTAGAATTGGCTGATATATTGTATAACTATTCATCCTTCAGCTCATCACCCCTAGTCTGCGTTGAAGCGCATTAGACAAAAGGCTAATCATCTTGTCTTTTGTTTAAAGGATAATGAAGGATTCCTTATTTTTGTCTATTTGCCTATGCACTTTGTGATGATTTTGTTTCATGCACATTGTCTACATTGTGCAACAAGGTTAACCACATTGGTTGATTGCCCATGGCTATGATCATTATTTGGATTAAATGCCTCTTTCTCTTATGTCCCAAGCACCAATTTGGGCAATCTGATCTTGGCATTTTGCGTATTTCATGCAACCCCAAGATATTCCATCCCAAAACCTTGATTAGAACTATGGCTTGATTGACTTGTGGTCAAACTTTGATGCAACTTGATGGGTCCTTATTTTGATTACATGCATGATGCATTTTACCTGAGAAAAAGCACGGGTGATCTATACTAGGATCACATGTGAAATTTTCCTAAGGTAGAATAGCTTGTATTAATATGATCATCAAGGACCAAGTACGACATTAAAGTCTTCCTTATGTTAATCTTCATTCCAAGAAAAAAAAAAATGTAAAGATTGCATTGGGATTCTATGCTAGGATCTTGATTATAATGTTCTCAAGGTAGAGTATATTGGATTAATATGATCATCGAGGACCAAATATTAGTGTAAATTCTTCATTCACAGTAAAAAAAAAAAAAGTGTTTAGGGCTACCATGGGATTTTTTTTTCTAGTGAAAAAAAAACATTTTTCTTTATCTTTTTCAGATACAGATTTCATTGTTATTTATCTCATAGCATACATATTGCATGGAGGGAAGGCAGCTGAAAGATTCACATGCAAGTGTTGCCACCATGATGGAGCAAGTTGATTGACATGGCATAGTCTTGGGATCTACCTGTGCGTTGTGTTATGGTTATGAAGGCCTTGAAAGACTCAATGCTCATCTCATGTTTTGAGAAATGTGTCTCCACTGTTGGACTCATTTTTTATATTTTTTTCTACTTGTTTTATATGTTTTACTTCTTCACTTCGAATTTGAAGCAAACTAATATTTTCCTTAATAAGGTTTCATGAAACTGAGATCAGCCCATAAACTCTTTTGAAATTGCAATCCCTACGTATGTGTTTGTGAAGCTCGTTTTTGGGCCTCAAGCACATGTATTCCTGTTGAGCATTTTACTGGAAATTGAAAATGTGAATGGCCATCTAAAGAATCTTTAATGTTGTCTTTCTCATCTTGACATGACATTTCCTTGGTTTTTCTTGTTTAATTTTGTTTTCTACCTTAACTGATTTGTTCTTATTGATGAATTGGCATTTCAGAATGGGCTCGCCACCAAGGTAGAGAAGTCGAGAAAGCAGATGAAGGAGAGAAAGAACAGAGCCAAGAAAATCCGTGGTGTTAAGAAGGTAATGCTTACCTGTACTGGATCTTTTCTCAAGCTCTTTGCCAAAAAATGCTTATATGTTACATGGCACACACAATTCATGTATCGTATCTAGGCATGCTTCTTGTCATCTCCACACTTGGTCTTTCATAAATAGGCAAAGTTGTTATTTGCCGTTGTCTTTTTTTTCTTGAGCGGAAGATTGACTCATCTCCACCATTCACAGTTGAGTATAGATTCTGGAGTAGATATGTGCAGATAACTGTTATTGTTCTTGCAAGTAGTGAACAAAAACTTGTTTTTGAGTTGGAAGATCTCACCTGAGCCTGGACTTTTATAAATGGAAGACTCTGGATATCCCCCAGTTTAGATCTATCTAATTTGACTAACAGGTCTACGCACGTGGTAGCATTGAGTAATACTTATTGAGACAGTGTTCAATTCCCACTGCATGCAAGATTCTTTTTTTTCTTTTTCCAATTCTTCATACAAAATCATGAACCTCCCAAGTTCACTATTTGGCTCAGCAAATCGACCTGGATTTGGCAGTGAGCAAGTCTGCCTCAAGTTTGAATATGAAATATTGATTTATCTTCAATATTATGGGTGGTCAAGATGGCAACTGGACCTTGTGGTTCAATCCGTACCTATGAATTTACCTGTCAACATATTAAGAAAAAGAAATCTTTTCTGCTTGCATGTGATATGCTTTCACACACAAGTACATCCCCTCTGGGCTTGTCATTCTGATATCATCACATTTGTGTTTGTGTTGGCCATGCAGACCAAAGCTGGAGATGCAGCCAAGGCTGGGAAGAAGAAGTGATATGGATCTTCTGTTGCCTGTTCTCTCACTGCCTTTGGACTTTGTATTTCCTTTCGTCTTTTTCTTTTGTGGAATTTTGCAGTGATATTCTATTTTCTCTTATTCTACAAAGCAATTTTGCCAAACTGGAAATGTCGAGTAGTTGTAGTGGTAGTGCGAGGACTATTTTCTATTTGTTTGGTTTCTGAAGTAAACTGAAACAGTAGCCCTCCATGTGGGTTCCTGGGGATTTAGCTGTTGAAAGTTCCAAAATAGAGATTTAATTTTTCTTTTGGTCTTGAGATACTACGGTTAGTTACTTTTTGCATCTTCATTTCTCTATGCAACTCCTTTGTAGGAGGGTAATTGGAATTTTAGCATATTGTGTCTTGACTTCAATTGAACTTGATTTTTGAAAACTTCAGTTTCAAAATTATAGAAAGGGGAGCGTAATGTACTGGTTTTTTGTAGCATATATTTGTCAACTTTTTTATTAATATCTTACCTCTAGTAACTTTATGGAACAAGTAGGTGATAATAATCAGAGCATATCTTTGCTGCAAAATTGTTTAGTGCAGGATATCTAAACATTGCTTAAAAACTCGCTGGTCTCACCTGGGTATTGCCCTAAAAGTCGGACCACATTGGGACCCTGGCGATTCTGCAGGGATAAGTGGCCAAGTTGAATTAAGACTCGGCTAATCCCATGTTAGACTCTCACATAACGTTTTGCACAGTGGTTCAGAAAGTCATCAAAATACAGCCAAAGTGCCTATTTAGCAGGAGTTACCAGTGTATTTGGGCTGTAACTCCAGCCCAATCGTTTCCAGAGAAAATAGTGATGCTTTACATTTCTATGTTATAGATTGTGCCATACTGTTTTATAAAAGTATAAAAGATCATTTAGCTTTGATACTAATGTGGTCACAATTAATCTTGATCATTGGATGTGAAATTAAGTTGAGTGGCTATATTTGTTCTCTTGATCAAGATCACAGTTCAAAAGAAATTTTTCTTGATCATTGGATGTGAAATTAAATTGAGGGGCTACATTTGTTCTCTTGATCAAATTCAAAGTTCAAAATAAATTTTTTCAAACTTTGTGATACCCAAGCCATTAAATTTTACATGGTTTGTATCAAAGGTTAATGTCCTCTGTATACAATCCCTTATTTTATTTTGTTTGCCAAATTATTGTTGTATAGTGTTTATTATAACCATCAAATGGAGTGTCCAGTTGAATGCTATCTAACAAGATTCAAATTTATCAGTCTTAAGCCATCGCATTTCCCCTCTAGAATGCAACTGGGTTGCACTGAAGTCGAGGCTTAATTTCAAGATTTATCTCTCATGTTAGTGACTCAATTTTGAATGTTTTTTTCCCCTTATATTTCATTCTGAATCTTTATATGCAAGTTCAATTATAAATCTATTACATCTCTACGTCCTTTCTTTTCAAAAGTATAAAATCTCATCTGCCACCTAAAAATATGGCCCTCTTAGTTTATCTGCATCAATTAGATTGGTGAAAATTAAAATAAAAAATTGGAAATCATATTTGACAGTATGAAAAGGGCAGTTATTTGATGCATGTCTTTAAAAATTAAATTTCTTATTTTAAATAGAAATTTGGAAAGTAAAATTTGAATAGTTGTCGTATATTAGATGTCGAGTAGTTGAAAAAGATAATTGGTTTATTAGTGCATTGAAATGTTCATAGGTTATTATAGGGGTGCGGTTTGTAAAGATCCAAGGCTCTAAACAATCAAAATAAAATGCATATTCAAATATTGTTGAGAAATATGGTTTCAATATTAGAAATTTTTGTAATAGCTTTAAAATATATATTTTCATCAATAATTACAAAATCTGAAACTTTAAAAATAGTGTAGATTGAGCAGATTTATGAGAACTTAAAAATCTTGAAAATTGACGGTCCAAAAATGCATGTGCACTATTTTCAAAAATTGAAATCCATTTGTTTCTCACCTCCATGCACCTTGAGGTCGAGATGATCAATATGAGGATATATGGGCATCCAAACAACATTTTCTAGTGAAATTTTTGAGGTGCATCTTAATAGAGCCTTGTACTTATATAAACTTTTTTCTTATTAATATGGGAAAAGTTTATATAAGGTTGCAACCTTAAAATGTAGAACTATAAATGCACCTAAAAAATCATTTGGAAAATATTGTTGTAATGTTGAAAAGCCCTCTAGTTGATCATCTCGACATCGAGATGTATGAATATGAAAAAAACGAAGATTGAGTTTCAGAAATAGTGCATCTTGCAACACATTATCCAGACGGTCTATTTTTAAGATTTTCATATGTTTATAGGTCTACTTGATTTTAATCATTTTTAGAGTTTAAAATTTTATAATTAGATATGAAAATAGATCATGTCATGATAAAGTTTGGAGGTGCACCTTAATTAGATTGTTTAAAGTTGCAACCTTATAGAAACCGCACCCTTATAATATATACTTCATTAATGATAATGAGAATCGCATATATAGGATCTGAAATTTTGAATTTACGTTCATGGCTTATTTTATCTCTGTATTATTTTAATTAACTTTGGAAATTATGTATTATCTATCCTAGTCTCAATATCTACCTCTTTCCTCATGCTGCATTCCCAATATTTCCCAAGGACATTTAATAGGTCCATATCTATTTCAACGAGTTCTTAGATTCTTTCTTTAAAAAATGTGAAGGAAGTAGGTTCCCCGTCTTCTTTATTTCGTAAAATTTCAAATATCTTGTTGTATATTGGTATTAAATATTTTATAAAATATTTATAATTGAATTATAAAAACTTTCCTCTAAATGGATGATGAAGAGTAAATTCTTTTAGAATTGTGTGAAAATCTATTTGGTTCATCATGGAATAAATTAGTCAAGACGAATCTAGATCATAATTAAAAAACATAAAAATAGGTTATTATACTACTTCTTGTCATATCTTCCCTAAAAGTTGATCTCTCATTTTAAATTGGGATTAATTACATTTAAGGAAAGTAATTTAATTTTTTAATATATTTTGGAAATAAAACATAGCCTCATAATTTTTATATTTCACACCGGAGTCCCTTTTTCATTAGATTTTTTTTTTTCTCCCAAATTGCCCTGTATTTTACAGTTGAAGTGCCAAACCTAGAGTTTTATTCAAATTTAAAATCTGTTGGCACTTGAAGTATGGAATCCATCTTTTCAATAAAAATTTTCATGGGGGTTCAACACTTCAAACACTAAACCTAATAAAAGAAAAAAAAAGAAAAAAAAGAAATCTTTCTATGGTGAGGTACCATTCTCTTTCAACAAAATCTAATGGTGGATTTCCTAGGTTTTACTGATGGAAAAAAATTATATGAAGGTGTGGTTCTAAACAAGGGCGCACCACAAAAATTCACTACTAATCATTTGGAAGGAAAAAGGTCCGGGAAGCTCTATGGTATTAGAAGGTGATTATTTTAATATTATTAATTGGTGCAGTGGAGCTGCTAGACCACCTTGGCGCCTTAGGTTTCTATGGTTGTAATTTATGGATTTATCATCAGTTGGCGTTGTGACTTTTAGCCATGCTTACAGAGAGGCCAATTCAGTGGCGGATGAACTTGTTAGGAGAGGAGTTCATTTAGATTATTTGGTTTTATCCCCGTCACTTTTTTAACTGCCTAATGTCATATGTAACACATCTTTGATTTAATTATATTTAGTGCTCTTGTCAAAAAAAAAGAAGAAGAAGAAAAAGAGAAGATGTTGTTTTGATGCGAAAAATCCACAAATCTACCTCAAGATGCATGAACACGAAAAAATGAATTTCAAATCTTGGAAATTGTGCATTTTGTAATGCATTTTTTAGACTCTTAAACTTCAAGATTTTCAAGTGGTCATAGATTCGGTCGAAGCTTTAAACTTTATAACTAGAGACGAAAAGTACTGAAACAACATCTTTCGATACTATTTGAAGGTACGTTTTACTTTCATTCGTTAGGTCCTCATCCTCGTATCATGTACTAGCCCTCTACATGAAGGATGAGGTGACGTATAAAGTCGTATTCCAAGTCATGCTATAAAATGGAGTTATGGTGTTAAAAAATTTGTAAAATAGTGATATGCAGCTCGGATTTAAAATAAGAAAAAAAAGAGAGATTTTAAGCCCTAATATTTAGCAAATACTTATTCGTCCGTTTCAAGTCTTCACATATAAATCAGGTATGCATCATTTTTTGAGTTTAAAATAGAGAGCTTCCAAATGAATTGGTAGGCTACCCCTAATGACTTTAGGCCATTGGATATTAGATAAAGCCAAAAGATATTCTACTATTGTAAGAGTAAAATGTCCATTTGCTACCTCGGGTAAAACCCTACATAAAATTAATTTTATAATCCCAAATTTTGGAGATGTAACTCTTCAACCTATATATAAATATCAATAAAGCAAATTCCTAATTATACCCTCTATACAGTTGAACAGAGACTATCAATTTTTAGATGGTAAGATCTGAGTGTGGGAAAACTGAAATTTCAATTTTTTCTTTTCGAAAAAATTCATTTAGTAGTTTTTAAGTAGTTCCCAAAGTTTCAAATTGACCCAATCCTCCCACTTCTGACCGATGGACTAGAAATATACCATGCTCCCTAGAGAGCATAATATAGGTGCCTTTTGGCAGAAACCATGATGGAGGCACGTCTAAAATACTAGGAAAGAGTTCACAGCCAAAGGAGAGGAAAGCATCTATGGGATTTTTACCTTGTTCTGTTTTTTAATGGTAGGAGAATTTCTAATATTTATATTCATAAATTCTAAACCTCAAAATCTAAATGTCATTCTAAACCTCAAAATCTAAATTCTAAACCTCAAAATGTGTGAATACAATTCCAAATTTTTCTCTTAAAGACATTTTAAGGCCCTGGGTCCCTAAAGGCTAGAGACTGGTTCGAAGAATACCCGAATCGGGCTCGTATAGCCCCAACAAAAATTCCAACCGACTCTTGGGTTTGGTTTGGATGCTTTTAGATGTAAAAAGAAGTCTGTTTTTTTATGTGGAGAGGGAAGGTTAGAGATGATGAGAGTTTGTCATGTAAGCTGGGCAGAGGAGTTGGGTTTACTGCAAAATTGCTGGAGCTGACGACAGATTGTCATAAAACCCATTTCAAGCAAGTGGGGTAGAGAGATGAATATTTCTAAATAGTGATCCATCCAAACTGCCCTACCTACATTGGAAGGCATTTTGATCATTTGAGAGCGTCCAGTGTTTCTAGAGCTCTAGTCTGCACATGGCTGAGGTTTT